TGTTGTCATCTAATGTTGTCATTATTATGATGAAGATGAACAAAACTACAGGAGTCTCCTCAGCTCAGATCAACCCCATGATGCAGGTATCTGGCTGGAACAGGTGAGCATCACAGTAAACCAGTGGAACAAACTGAGCTTTAAATATGCTGGTTTTATGCTCTTTTTCTGCTCCAAAACATGAAAGTTAACAGGTGAGATGTTGCATTTCATTTAAGATAAAATAATATTTTTATTTTGTTGTTGGCCCGTGAGAAAAGATTTAACCTACAGTAAAACAGGAAGTGGAAAGGCTGCAGATAGATGAATAGAATAGAAAATCCCTTTATTGTTCCTCAGTGGGGAAAGCTAGACGTCACAGCAGCGATGACACTTATTACAGGAGAAAAAAAAGAGAATAAAAAATAAGAAAAATGAATAAACAAGAAAACATAAATCCTGAATAGATTTTAAAAATGCTGAATATACCACAAGTAATGAATACCACTGATGCCTTTTATTTAAAACGGACTTGCTCGTGTGTAATTTGGTTATTCCACATTCAGTGTTAATGCAGAAATATGTTTGTTTCCAAATTTTAAGGTTCAAAATTGCATATATGTTGATAAAGAAAATGTGCAATTTTGTCGTCACTTTTTCAAAAAATATTAAGTTTGGCCCTCGACTCCGTCCCAGAGTTTCATTTCGGCCCCTTGTGAGTTTGAGTTTGACACCCCTGCTTTACAGCAATCCTCATACTAAGCAAGCATGCAGTGACAGTGGAGAGGGAAACTCCCTTTTAACAGGAAGAAACCTCCAGAGGATCTTGGCTTAGTATAAGCAGCCATCCTCCACGATGACTCACTGGGGATCGAGAAGACAGAGCACACACACACACACACACACACACACACACACACACACACACACACACACACACACACACACACACACACACACACACACACACACACACACACTAGTGTGTGGAGTCTGTATATTAGGAAAACATAAAATTATTTTTTATAATTTGCTCTTCCTTTCATTAATAGTGAAAAGAGATATTTGTGTGCATTTCTGTGAAAAGTCCAGGCAAGTTAAAGAATGCAGACTGTCAATTTTTAATGTCTCTTTCCTTAAATTAGGTCCTCAGACTCTTGCTGTTTTTATTGTTTTTTATGTTTCTTTTCTGCCTTTATGGCTCTCGCTCCTTGTGTGTGTGTGTGTGTGTGTGTGTGTGTGTGTGTGTGTGTGTGTGTGTGTGTGTGTGTGTGTGTGTGTGTGTGTGTGTGTGTGTGTGTGTGTGTGTGTGTGAGAGAGGATTGAGGCTGACCAATGTAGTGTGGAAAGAGCTGCAGTCAGTGCTGTGGAGTCAATGACCCGAGAGCCAACAGGAAAACTTGCCGGAGAAAACTCCACAACTACTTTAACGTCCGCTGAGCTCTGCTGGAGGCTGCTGATGCTCCACTCATCCTGCTCACTTCCAGCTCTGCGGCTGGCTCTGGAGCAACATCAGTCACTTCGGATGAGGCCTTGTGTAGGTGTTCAACAGCCTCATTGTTTTATTCAACTTTATTCTCAGGAAAAATTTACCATTTAAAAGTGACAGCAGAAACATTACCTGGCTTTCTTTTTATTTTTGTTCTAAATTTTTCCAATGAAACTTTTGAAAGGATTCAATTTTTTTCACTTATTTAACTGGTGATCTCTCATAATACAATAGATTGCTCCTCATTCCTCACTGTGGTCACAGGGGGCTGGTGTCTATATCTGGTAACAGGTGGGGGCACCCTGGACAGGTCTCCAGTCCAGCACAGCGTGTCCTGTTCATTCAATGTTCATGTTGGTCTTTCCACCATTTGAGACCTTGTGGTAGGCTGGGTGGAGGTTTTTCTACCAGAACCAGATAATGATCCAAACACTGAAACATTTAGATTCATATAAAATAAGAAGGCTACAAAAGTAGGAATAAAAAGAAACAGACGAAGAAGTGATCACCAACCAAAAGTACCTGATTTAATTCTCGCAAATGTGGGCGCCTACCTCACAGAGAGCAGGATCGTGCTCCAGGGATTAGCGGTGGCAAACAAGTAGATTCACAATCCAGATGATTTGTACTTCACTCTGGGGGTGCACAGTTGCCGGTGATCAGCCGACCTTAATGAACGTGAGGGGTGATCAACTCAGATAAACATCGAGGAGCTTGATCATTCAGAGCTTTGTAGAGGAAGATCAGAACTTTAAAACTGGTCAATGGAGATCCTCCAGGATAGGTGTAACATGACTATGTCTGTCTGCATTGTGGTATCTGGGTTGTAAAATCCGTTTGGCTGTATGGTTTGATAAGCTAAAGTTTGTTTATAAAATCATCTGACGCAATTTGTGCCGATTTCTGCACGCTTGTGTGAAGACTCCCAAACAATCCAGGGGGGTCAGAAAGTCGAGATGGACACTGCCGATTGCATGGACCTCCTTTACCTGAGCTCGTAGCTAGCTTATAATACGACCCTTCAAGTCTGTGTTATCTTCAGGTGATGGCAGGGAGCTGGTGTGTCTATTTTGCATCTAAGGCTGTTCAGTGGCTCTTAAAAGAGCCGTTGTGTATGATGTCATTAAAGGAGCTCAGGATGTGCTGAAGAGGAAGCAGATAGAGGAGGAAGAGTAGAGTCCCCAGCACAGAACCTTGTGGGACACCATGGGTAAGGGAGGTGGTCAGTGGCGGACTGGTAATCGGGAGAAACGGGAGATTTCCCGGTGGCCTGGCTGTTAAACTGGCCCCTCTCACTGATTGCCGGTCATGACGTGTGTAATATCTAATATATATAATATAAATAATATTTGCTCTCCTGATGCTCACACAAATGGAGTGAAATGGGCACAAAGACATGCCCTCCTCTCACTGTCGGTGTCTGGCAAAGCTGCCCCCCCCCGAGCATCTTCGGCCCAAGAGGGAAAATGGACCTAGACGGACCGGGAAAGGTGGAGCAGAAAAAGAGAGATTGAAAAAGAAGAAAGCTCTGGCCACAGATGCACGTCCAGGCTGGCCTGTATGTGGTCATGTTAGGAGAACTGGTTTAAGGTGGAGTTTTGGGGCCAGTTTAATTATCGTGCAGTGCGCAATGCTGGACACATGGGGTTGGTTGGGGAGGGAGAAACAGCGGCTGTCTGGAACTGATCATGATGATCAGGTTCTGATGATCAGATCATCAGACTTATATCCATTAGGGACAGAGAGCAGTGCTTTGTACCGGTACCGCTGCCACTTCTAAATATAACCTTTCAGCATGGCAGTACTTTTTCTAGGGTACAGTGCATACCGGTAAATTTTCCAGGTATTCATTAGTCGAAATCTCAGAGAAGGACCACATTTTGCGCAAAAGGTGCATCACTGCCGCGAGGCTCGCCGCACGTCACCTTCAGCTCAGGCAGAGGAGAGAAAATAAAATTGTTCTCCCACACCGTACACATTCCTGCAATGACTGACAGCAGCATCATCTGACCAACCAGTGATTAGATGCTCTGACATGCAGGTACATCTATGGAGGAGAGACGGTTTCTAAATGGAAATATGGATCATGAGCAAACTCAAGAAATTAAATGTCACAAGAGGAGTGTGCTTCACTTGAAACTTTGTGGTCATAAACATCCATCTGCTTTTGATCATGAGAGAGTTGATATGATAATTCTAACCTGGATTCGATTTTACAGCAGCCATGATGATTATTTATGGAATTTCGTGTTAAATGCACAAACCTTCATCTCTGGTTTATATTGTCTTTGGCTCATAGCCTTTAAACCCCTAGAATTATTTATGTTTAACCAGGAATTAAAATCCATCACCAGAGAGCCATATTACTACACACAAAGAATTATCACCTGACCTCTGCTGGTACTTGACTTGATCCGTTCTCCTGGGTTCATGGACGTAGAAATACATCCATCCTTTTGATAAATTACAGAAAGTACAGTTCTGGTGTTAGTGTCCACTTATATCCTCATCCATCCATTTTTTGTATGTGCTTCTCCACGCAGGGTCGCGGGAGGCTGGTGCCTATCTCCAGCAGTCTCCAGGCAAGCAGGCGTGGTACATACTGGACAGGTTACCAGTCCATCGCAAGGCAACACAGACACACAGACCAAACAACCATGCACACACACACATAAACACACCTAAAGACAATTTAGAAAGATCAATAAAGCTGACAGTATGTTGGGGGAAGCTGGTGTACTTGGAGAGAACCCACAAGGAGAACATGCCAACTCCTTGCAGAAAGACCCCAGGCTGAGATTTGAACCCAGGACCTTCTTGCTGCAGACAGCATCGCTAACCACTGATCCACGCTTATATCCTCATAATTTAATCAATTCCTTAATAGTCTGCTGAAATGTACTTAGTTGTGACTGTACTTCATCTGATTTCACCTGCTGGGTGGAGCTCAAGGCAGTGAATACTGACAGACTCACCTGAGCTTAACTGTCACTGACATCAGCAACAACTGTCATGATTAGAAACTTCACTGCTTCTTTCAGAATTCCCCGGAGTCCTACTGCCCACCATCCTAAATAAAAGAGCGTCTGTTTGGGATGGCTTCAGCGCCTCTCAAATACATTAAACTGCAGCACTTCATATAATTTGATGGCATACTGTTCTCATGTACAGGTGAATCTGGAAAAATGACAATATGATGAAAAACTTCATCCATCCATCCATTGTCTGAGCCCACTTTGTCCACATAGGGTCACTGGGGGGCTGGTGCCTATCTCCAGGGGTCAATGGCAGTGGCGGCTGGCCAGTAGAGGGCGATAGGGCGCCGCCCTCCCAGTTGTTCTGTGTTTTTAATTTTTATTTTAAAAAATAAATAAATAAAATTAACAATAATCACATATTCTAAGTTAATTGTGTGTTTTGTAACAAAAATAAATCATATATATAAATATATATCTATATTGGTCTCTGCCGGTTTCTGCCGAGCGGTGGAGGCTGTGTGCTGTTTTTCAATCGCCCAAACAGGACAAGACCAGCTGTCCAATTGCTGACAAGAATATCAAAGGGTAGGAATGGGAATGTATCCAATCAGCGTCGACGTTGTTTCAGAACGTTTCAGAAGCATGATGGGCGATGGAGCTACCGCCAAAGGATTCGTTGGTGTTCGGTAGAACTCGGCAGAGTCGTTTTTGGTCGTGACGCAGATGTAACATGGACGCCGCCGGTGATTACAACCAGCATGGATACCGGATCTCAGCAGCCACTGAATTCAGTTCGGTCTCTTCTCCAGCATCCGTTCGAGAGGAGAACTATGGTGGAAAAACTTAATGTCAAAGAGCTTGGACCAGATCAGCCCGACGTAAAGATAAGCCAGCAGGAGAAGGAGAGAGGTAAACTGTACACACTAGGCTTCTCCCGAAATTGGTACACCAGGGAGGCTTGGCTAGCTGGATGCAATCACTCTAATGCGTTATTTTGCTTTCCGTGTTTGTTATTCAAAACGGCTGGGACAGATAAGGCATGGATGAGTCAGGAGTTACAGACATGAAACATTTTTCTGAGAAGGTGAAGAAACACGAGTCATCCCGGGCACACATGGACAACAACACGGTGAAGCTAGCCATGCTAGGCAGCAGAGCTAACGTTGCCATGCAGGGAACAACAGCAGCTGGGTGCAGAGGTAAGCTGTACATTACATTTCTGTGAACAAGACAATCAGAATCAGAAATCCTTGGTTGACCCACAAACCGGGACATTTGTTTAATAACATGTTTAATGTGCAATAACTGTAAAAAACTAATTTCAACACACATACCTATTATACATATTTAATCATGTAAATGTGTATTTCATGTAAATTTGTACATACATCAATCTGATTCCAGTTTACTTGTTACACTTCTGCTGCAGCAAACAAATTTCCCAGCTTTTGGGACAATTAAACATTTCTGATTCTCTATTAGATGTTTTTACCTCAAATGTAAAAACATCTGATTGAGAATCAGAAATGTTTTATTGTCCCAAAAACTGGGAAATATGACATTTGTAAGAGGATACTGATGACATTATTTCCTATAAAAGTGTTTCCTATGAACTTATCTGTTGTTTTTTATTTATCATATGACAGGTTTTTCACACCATCCTGAGCCATGCAAAAGAAGATTCTTGTCACCACACCCATGACCACAGCCGAATCAGAAAGGTGCTTTTCTACTTTAAAGAGGATTAAGACTTTCCTGAGGAACACCATGACACAGGATGGGCTGAATGCTCTTGCCATGCTCTCCATGGGAAAAAAAAGCTTGTCACAAACATTCCTGACTTCAATAAAAAGCTAATCGAGAGCTTTGCCACTCAGAAGGACAGAAGGGCAAAATTTCTGTACAAATGAGGTATCACACACACACAAATGCATCCACTTGATCTTTGTATAAAGTTGACCTTGGCACAACACTCCAGAAATATTTAACAGTGTAAATTTCTGGCATTTTGTCTAAGTGGTGCTTACTACCATTACTGTAACAGTGACCTGCTCATAATTTTTGGTGTTCACTCAAATGTTGAAATTAAACAAAATGTTTTTGTTACTTGCCTCTTGCATTGCCTATTTACCATTTATGGTCATGTTATTTTATGTGCAATTTAATGCAGTATTTTTCAACCTTAGTCCGCAAGGCAGCGTGCCAATAGTCAGACACACCTGGATTAATCAGTTTGTCCAATGATGTAAGACAGGAAATAAAAGAGCTGTGCTTAATTCAGGAAATAGTGAAGTTGTGCACAAAGCTCAGAAAGCACAAGTTTGTTTAAAAATAAAAAAATAGCACAGCCCCACCAAAAACATTTTTCACCAGCCGCCACTGGTCAATGGGCAATCAGGCGAGGTACACCCTGGACAGAGAGCCAGTCCATTGCAGGGCAACACAGACACACAGGACAAACAATCACACACACACACACACACACACACACACACACACACACACCTAAGGACAACTTAGACTGACCAATGAACCTAACAGTCATGTTTTTGGACTGTGGGAGGAAGCCAAAGTACCCGGAGAGAACCCACACATGCACAGGGAGAACATGCAAACTCCATGCAGAAAGATCCCAGGCCGGGAAGTGAACCCAGGACCTTCTTACTGCAAGGCAACAGCTCTAACCACTGCGCAGCCCGAAAAACTTCATTTGTCAGTAATTCATCTGCGACACCATAAAGGCTCAGGTGTTCTGGGCTCATTAGCTGATTAGAGTGTGAAACCTTTTAGAATATTGAACCTTTTTCACAATAGTCTGAGATGGTGAATGTGGGGTTTTCATCAGCTGAAGCCATAGTCATCAGTTATAACCAATAAACATGTGAAATATCTGAATTTGCATGTAGTCAGTCTCATAGATTAGTTTCACTTCTAAGTTAACAATGAATGACCAGGCTCTTTTCCAGCTACCAGACCCTGGTTCTGCTCCACCTACCAGACCCTGGTTCTGCTCGAGCTACCAGACCCAGGTTCTTCTCCAGCTACCAGACCCAGGTTCTGCTTCAGCTACCAGGCCCAGGTTCTGCTTCAGCTACCAGGCCCAGGTTCTGCTTCAGCTACCAGACCCTGGTTCGTCTCCAGCTACCAGACCCTGGTTCGTCTCCAGCTACCAGGCCCAGGTTCTGCTCCAGCTACCAGGCCCTGGTTCTGCTCCAGATACCAGGCCCTGGTTCTGCTCCAGCTACCAGACCCTGGTTCTGCTCCAGCTACCAGGCCCCGGTTCTGCTTCAGCTACCAGGCCCAGGTTCTGCTCCAGCTACCAGGCCCAGGTTCTGTTCCAGCTACCAGACCCTGTGTCTGCTCCAGCTACCAGGCCCAGGTTCTGCTCCAGCTACCAGACCCTGGTTCTTCTCCAGCTACCAGACCCTGGTTCTGCTTCAGCTACCAGACCCAGGTTCTTCTCCAGCTACCAGACCCTGGTTCTGCTTCAGCTACCAGACCCAGGTTCTGCTCCAGCTACCAGGCCCAGGCTCTGCTCCAGCTACCAGGCCCAGGTTCTGCTCCAGCTACCACGCCCAGGTGCTGCTCCAGTTACCAGACCCAGGTTCTTCTCCAGCTACCAGACCCAGGTTCTGCTCCAGCTACCAGGCCCAGGTTCTTCTCCAGCTACCAGGCCCAGGTTCTGCTCCAGCTACCAGACCCTGGTTCTGCTTCAGCTACCAGGCCCAGGTTCTTTTCCAGCTACCAGACCCAGGTTTTGCCTCAGCTACCAGACCCAGGTTCTTCTCCAGCTACCAGACCCTGTGTCTGCTCCAGCTACCAGGCCCTGGTTCTGCTTCAGCTACCAGGCCCTGGTTCTGCTCCAGCTACCAGACCCAGGTTCTTCTCCAGCTACCAGACCCTGGTTCTGCTCCAGCTACCAGGCCCAGGTTCTGCTTCAGCTACCAGGCCCAGGTTCTGCTCCAGCTACCAGGCCCAGGTTCTGTTCCAGCTACCAGACCCTGTGTCTGCTCCAGCTACCAGGCCCAGGTTCTGCTCCAGCTACCAGACCCAGGTTATTCTCCAGCTACCAGACCCTGGTTCTTCTCCAGCTACCAGACCCTGGTTCTGCTTCAGCTACCAGACCCAGGTTCTTCTCCAGCTACCAGACCCTGGTTCTGCTTCAGCTACCAGACCCAGGTTCTGCTCCAGCTACCAGGCCCAGGCTCTGCTCCAGCTACCAGGCCCAGGTTCTGCTCCAGCTACCACGCCCAGGTGCTGCTCCAGTTACCAGACCCAGGTTCTTCTCCAGCTACCAGACCCAGGTTCTGCTCCAGCTACCAGGCCCAGGTTCTTCTCCAGCTACCAGGCCCAGGTTCTGCTCCAGCTACCAGACCCTGGTTCTGCTTCAGCTACCAGGCCCAGGTTCTTTTCCAGCTACCAGACCCAGGTTTTGCCTCAGCTACCAAACCCGGGTTCTGCCTCAGCTACCAGGCCCAGGTTCTTCTCCAGCTACCAGACCCAGGTTCTGCTTCAGCTACCAGGCCCAGGTTCTTCTCCAGCTACCAGACCCAGGTTCTTCTCCAGCTACCAGACGCAGGTTCTTCTCCAGCTACCAGACCCAGGTTCTGCTCCAGCTACCAGACCCAGGTTCTTCTCCAGCTACCAGACCCAGGTTCTTCTCCAGCTACCAGGCCCTGGTTCTGCTCCAGCTACCAGACCCTGGTTCTGCTCCAGCTACCAGGCCCAGGTTCTGCTTCAGCTACCAGGCCCAGGTTCTGCTCCAGCTACCAGGCCCAGGTTCTGTTCCAGCTACCAGACCCTGTGTCTGCTCCAGCTACCTGGCCCTGGTTCTGCTTCAGCTACCAGGCCCTGGTTCTGCTCCAGCTACCAGACCCAGGTTCTTCTCCAGCTACCAGACCCAGGTTCTTCTCCAGCTACCAGACCCTGTGTCTGCTCCAGCTACCAGGCCCAGGTTCTGCTTCAGCTACCAGACCCAGGTTCTGCTCCAGCTACCAGGCCCAGGCTCTGCTCCAGCTACCAGGCCCAGGTTCTGCTCCAGCTACCACGCCCAGGTGCTGCTCCAGTTACCAGATCCTGGTTCTGCTTCAGCTACCAGGCACAGGTTCTGCTCCAGCTACCAGGCCCAGGTTCTTTTCCAGCTACCAGACCCAGGTTTTGCCTCAGCTACCAAACCCGGGTTCTGCCTCAGCTACCAGACCCAGGTTCTGCTCCAGCTACCAGGCCCAGGTTCTGCTCTAGCTACCAGGCCCAGGTTCTTCTCCAGCTACCAGACCCAGGTTCTGCTTCAGCTACCAGGCCCAGGTTCTTCTCCAGCTACCAGACCCAGGTTCTTCTCCAGCTACCAGACGCAGGTTCTTCTCCAGCTACCAGACCCAGGTTCTGCTCCAGCTACCAGACCCAGGTTCTTCTCCAGCTACCAGACCCAGGTTCTTCTCCAGCTACCAGGCCCAGGTTCTGCTCCAGCTACCAGGCCCAGGTTCTGCTCCAGCTGCCAGATCCAGGTGGTCACTTCAGATGAGGCCTTGTGTAGGTGTTCAACAGCCTCATTGTTTTATTCAACATTATTCTCAGGAAAAATTTACCATTTAAAAGTGACAGCAGAAACATTACCTGGCTTTCTTTTTATTTTTGTTCTAAATTTTTCCAATCAAACTTTTGAAAGGATTCAATTTTTTTCACTTATTTAACTGGTGATCTCTCATAATACAATAGATTGCTCCTCATTCCTCACTGTGGTCACAGGGGGCTGGTGTCTATATCTGGTAACAGGTGGGGGCACCCTGGACAGGTCTCCAGTCCAGCACAGAGTGTCCTGTTCATTCAATGTTCATGTTGGTCTTTCCACCATTTGAGACCTTGTGGTAGGCTGGGTGGAGGTTTTTCTACCAGAACCAGATAATGATCCAAACACTGAAACATTTAGATTCATATAAAATAAGAAGGCTACAAAAGTAGGAATAAAAAGAAACAGACGAAGATCAGACGAAGATTTTGGTTGGAGATCACCAACCAAAAGTACCTGATTTAATTCTCGCAAATGTGGGCGCCTACCTCACAGAGAGCAGGATCGTGCTCCAGGGATTAGCGGTGGCAAACAAGTAGATTCACAATCCAGATGATTTGTACTTCACTCTGGGGGTGCACAGTTGCAGGTGATCAGCCAATCTTAATGAACGTGAGGGTTGATCAACTCAGATAAACATCGAGGAGCTTGATCATTAGATGACTGTACTTCATCTGATTTCACCTGCTGGGTGGAGCTCAAGGCAGTGAATACGGACAGACTCACCTGAGCTTAACTGTCACTGACATCAGCAACAACTGTCATGATTAGAAACTTCACTGCTTCTTTCAGAATTCCCCTGAGTCCTACTGCCCACCATCCTAAATAAAAGAGTGTCTGTTTGGGATGGCTTCAGCGCCTCTCAAATACATTAAACTGCAGCACTTCATATAATTTGATGGCATACTGTTCTCATGTACAGGTGAATCTGGAAAAATGACAATATGGTGAAAAACTTCATCCATCCATCCATTGTCTGATTCCACTTTGTCCACATAGGGTCACTGGGGGGCTGGTGCCTATCTCCAGGGGTCAATGGGCAATCAGGCGGGGTACACCCTGGACAGGGAGCCAGTCCATCGCAGGGCAACACAGAGTCACACAGGACAAACAATCACACACACACACACACACACACACCTAAGGACAACGTAGACAGACCAATGAACCTAACAGTCATGTTTTTGGACTGTGGGAGGAAGCCGAAGTATCCGGAGAGAACCCACGCATGCACAGGGAGAACATGCAAACTCCAATGCTGAAAGATCCCAGGCCGGGAAGTGAACCCAGGACCTTCTTACTGCAAGGCAACAGCTCTAACCACTGCGCAGCCCGAAAAACTTCATTTATGTCAGTAATTCATCTGCGACACCATAAAGGCTCAGGTGTTCTGGGCTCATTGGCTGATTAGAGTGTGACACCTTTTAGAATATTGAACCTTTTTCACAATAGTCTGAGATGGTGAATGTGGGGTTTTCATCAGCTGCAGCCATAGTCATCAGTTATAACCAATAAACACGTGAAATATCTGGATTTGCATGTAGTCAGTCTCATAGATTAGTTTCACTTTTAAGTTAACAATGAATGACCAGGCTCTTTTCCAGCGACAGGTTCTGCTCCAGCTACCAGACCCAGTTTCTTCTCCAGCTACCAGGCCCAGGTTCTGCTCTAGCTACCAGGCCCAGGTTCTGCTCCAGCTACCAGACCCAGTTTCTGCTCCAGCTACCACGCCCAGGCGCTGCTCCAGCGACAGGTTCTGCTTCAGCTACCAGACCCAAGTTCTGCTCTAGCTATCAGGCCCAGGTTCTGC